GAGATGTTTATTACTATTTTGCACCACCATGCCACATCTCTACAACCTTGTTTTTTCCTGGAATGCCCTCTTCTTTTTTACTTTTTTTTTTTTTGGTACTAGGAATTAAACCAAAGGGCACTAAACCACTGAGCCACAGCCCTTTTTTGTATTTTATTTAGAGACAGAATCTCACTGAATTGCTTGGGGCCTTGCTAAACTGAGGCTGGCTTTGAAATCACAATCCTCCTGCTTCAGCCTCTGGAGCCTCTGGGATTACAGGTGTGTGCCACCATTCCCAGCAGGAAAACAACTTTTAACAAGTGCCTAATCAAAACCACATTAATGGATTCCTGCTTTTGGCAGCATGGATAAAAGAAAGCACTTTCCCATTAAACTACAACTAGATTCTAGATAAATTACAGCAATTTCATATTTTTTAGCACATTGCTGAGTTTATTAGAAACTAAGGCAGTGAAGTAGCCAGGTGTGGCACACACCTGTTGTTCCAACTACTTGGGAGGCTGAGGCAGAAGGATCACTTGAATCCAGGAGTTTAAGGCCAACTTGGGTGAAAGAAGAAGGCACCATCTTAAAATAAAAGGAAAAAAGGAAGGAAGGGAGGATGGGAGGAAAGGAGGAGAAAAAAATATATAACTTTAAGTTATAAACTATTATATAAAGGATGAGCAACATGCAGAAATAGATTTAATCTGGGGACAAGTGCCAAAGTCAGCATTGTGAACAGAGTCTAAATCTTGGGTCTAGTCCAGGCAGGTGTGAAAAATCTGGGACTTTTTAATTAAACCTGGACTCCCTCCCCACTCAAACCCATGGCTTCACACATTGTAGGCAAACCTCAACTACTGAACTACATGCACTATCCCACAAAACCTGGACTCTTGAAGGGGCTAACATAGTCCCAGGTCAAGAACATCGCTTGATTCCTGACAAGCAAATGTACATTCCCCTCTGGAGGAAAGTAACCTCAATTTAGACCCTTAGGATTTCCATAAAGTTTAACGAAATGAGTTCTAAACCCCCAAATACAAAATATACAAGGAAACAAGCTACCAAGAGTAGGTTTTTTTCTGATGAGAAAACAACAAAAGAGATTCAGATATCTAAAATAAGTTAGAGAAGACTGTTGAGTGGTGCATGACTGTAATCCTAGCAAGGGAGGTTGAAGCAGGAGGGTCACATGTTCAAGGCCAGCCTTTGAAATTTAGTGAGATCCTGTCTCAAAATAAAAAGTAAAAAAGGGCTAGGAATGGAAAAAATAGTTGCAGAACATTAAATAATCCCATCAAATTTCAGAGAATTGGTAGCAGAGCAGGGTGTGGTGGTGTATTCCTGTAATTCCAAAATCTTGGGAAAATGAAGAGTAGAGGATTGTGTGTTGGAGGCAAGTTTGGCAATTTAGTGAAATTCTCAAAAAAAGGCTGGGCCAGGTAGTCCCAGTGGCTCGGGAGGCTGAGACAAGAGGATCACCATTTCAAAGCCAGCCTCAGCAATGGTGAGGTGCTAAGCAACTCAGTGAGAGTTGCTAAATAAAATACAAATAAAAAATCTAAATAAAACACAAAATAGGGCTGGGGATGAGGCTCAGTGATTGAGTGCCCATGAGTTCAATCCCTGTTTACCACCACCAGAAAATAAAGGCTGGGGATAGAGCTCAGGTATAAAGCACCCCTGGGCTCTATCTCTAGGATCACAAAAATAAAATAAATTCATAAAATTTTAAAAATAAACAAAATTAAAAGGGCTGGGGATATAGGTCAATGATACAGTGTTTATCCAACATCCATGAGGCCCTTGATTCAATCCCTAGCACTGGGAATGGGAGTGGGGGGTAGCAGACACACTGCTCACTACATTTTCTGAATACAAATTATTAGTTGAAAATTGGTATTAAAAAATAAAATTTTAAGTGTCCAGATACTTGGAAATTTACAAAACATTTCTAAATAATTTGTGAGGATTTGGGGGCCTAACTCAGTAGCAGAACACTTGCCTAGCACGTACAAGGCCTTGGGTCTGATCCCCAGTATCCTCCAGCCCACAAAAGTCATGAATCAAAAAAGTGGCAAAGCTAATTTAAATACCTTTAGAACTAAATAATAATCAAAATACTATATAATACAAAAAAATATAGGATGTAGAGAAGAGTCTTACAATTACTTAAGTAAAAGAACATAAAATTAAAACCTTAGGAAAGCAGAAGAAAATAAATACATGAGCAGTTATGAAGGAAACAGAAAACACATAAGAGGGGCTGGGGATATGGCTCAAGCGGTAGCGCGCTCGCCTGGCATGCGTGCAGCCCAGGTTCGATCCTCAGCACCACATACCAACAAAGATGTTGTGTCCGCCAAAAACTAAAAAATAAATATTAAAAATTCTCTCTCTCTCTCTTTAAAAAGAAAAAAGAAAACACATAAGAGAGAAGCTCAACTGGGTGTGTAGTAGCACATGCCTGTAATGCCAGCTACTCAGGAGGCTGAGGCAGGATTTCAGGTTCAAGGCCAGCCTGGGTAACTTAGGGAGGCTCTGTCTAAATGAAAATAAAACAGGCTGGGGATGTGGCTCAGTGGTTAAGTGTCCTTGGGTTTAATCCCTGGTACCAAAAAAATAAAATACACAAATTTCTGGCACAACTGATCAAGAGAAAAAAAGAGGTGCAAGTAAACAGAAGAAATGAAAAGGAAGATATGAACTACCCAGGAGCAGAAAAAAACAAATAGAAAAAATATATCGTGTGGGCTGGGGTGGCTCAGTGGTAGAGCGCTCGCCTAGCAGGTGCACGCCCTGGGTTCGATCCGCAGCACCACATAAAAATACATTTATTGTGTCCAACTAAAAAATAAATATTAAAAAAAAGAAAAGAAAAAGTACATCATGTAAGAAAATAAGAGGAAGAAAAGATATGAATTGCAAAAATTCTAGGGAAACACTTGGTCTAAACTGACTCAAGAAGAAACAGAAAGCCTACATAGTCTAATTATGTTAATAAAGAATTTGAACCAGGAGCTGGGGATGTGGCTCAAGCGGTAGCGCGCTCGCCTGGCATGCGTGCGGCCCGGGTTCGATCCTCAGCACCACATACAAAGATGTTGTGTCCGCCAATAACTTAAAAAAATTAATAAATTTAAAAAAAAGAATTTGAACCAATAGTTAAAATTATTCCCACAAAGAAACACCAGGCTAAGGTGGCTTTATAGGTGAGTTTTACCAAACAGTCAAGAACAGTTCATTTCATTCTGATATAAACTCATCCAGAGAATAAAACAAGAGGGAACATTTCCAGCTCAAAAGGTGTACCATCAAATGGACCATCTTAGAAACCTTTTTAGAAATCTTGCTAAAAACAAAGGCACTAACATGTACAAGAATGTTCATAGCAGCATTGTTCATAATAGCAAAAATCTGGAAACAGCCCAAATATGCATTGAGAGGTGAATGGTGAAGAATTTGTAGTTTATGCTCTTGACGTAATATTATACAGATGAAAATGGGTTAATCGCAGCTATTACAACATGGATGAATCTCAGAAACAATGGTAAGTGCAAAAAGGCAAACATCAAGGTAGTAGTAGAGTAACATTTTTGTAAAGCTAAAAGACAAGCAAAACTAAACAATATACTTTTAAAGTATACATATGTGGTTAAAATATATATATATATAAAACAATTAATTAATAAACACAAAATTAAGGACAGTGTTCACCTCTAAAGGGGGACAAGATCAGGAGGATCGAAAACTCAATGGTATTTTAATGTGTGAATCGAGTGCAGGGTCATAGTTACTCATTTTATTATTATATTTCATAATTTACTCATGTTACATATATTCTTTATATATCAAATATTACATATATTTTTTAAAAATCTGCTGTGATGGAAACAAATGGGCAAATGAGTATCTCCCTGAAACAAATCCATATTTCTTGGGAAGAACCAAGATTCCCTGACCAAAGCTACCCTATGTAGAGAACAAAAGAGTTGGTTTACTGCTTTTCCCAGGGACACATGTGGAAGGTCTGGAACTCCTTCCTTTAGTGCTCCTGGACATGCAGAACAACGTCCTTCCATACCTCTAGCCTAAGCCCCAGTCTTGCCAAGTCAGTCCTGATTATGTACGACAAGAGACTGACACCTGGTGGACGCAGAATGAATTTAGAGAAATGACTAGGAAGTAAATCTTTCACTCTAGTTGGTGAAAGTGTCAGTAAGGAGACAGGGAAGCAAAAATGAGGAGAAAGTTCAAACAGGAAATGAAAAGAGGTCCATAGGTGGAAAAAAAGATGGTGCCATCTAAGTAAGACTGAGAATAGTCCCTAAAGAATGAATTCCCTCTCCTTCCTTCTGAGACTGGCACAAGAAGAAAGAAGTTAGTTACAGGAAGGGAAATACAAGACTGAGAAAGGAAGCAGCCCTAGCTGGTCTCAGCCTAGCAAGGCAAGACCACATGCACTTTGTAGTTGTAGTTGGGTGTCAGCTGCCTCCTAGCAACTCCCCTTGCCCAGTCTCCATGTGGGGACTCTGATTCCACCACCCTTTTCCCCAATGGTATGGTCCATGGTATAGAATAAGCAACTTAATGTATCATCCTACTGGCCACACTGAGGGGTGGATGTTGACCCAGGCTGGACTAATCAGAACCAATCTTCAGGATTTTTTTTTTTTTTTAATTTTTTTTTTTTTTTTAATTGGTCGTTCATAATCTTCAGGATTTTCAGGCACAATGATACCTTCTCTTTCTGGCTAGACATAAATGAGTAAACATAATCCTAGGAGTGCTGGTAGCTATGAGGTAGCCCAGACTTAAGATGATTTTACATTAGGCTGAGCAGTGAGATTAAAAACCAATCAGATATTTAGAGACATAGTGAGCAACCAGATCAAGCTTCACTGGATCTGGCACTACCTCTGGATTTTCCAGTTATACACAATAAATCCTTTTTACTTTCTCTACCCACCAACCCTCACCCCCAAGTGTGTCTGTCGCTTTTTTCCTGCCTATACCTTTATTCTGAGACATGGTCTCTCTAAATTGCCTGATCTAGTTGCCTAGGCTGGCCTCAAACTGGTAATCCTCCCACCTCAGCCTCCCAAGTAGCTGAGATTACAGGTATGCACCACCACACCCAGCAATTCTTTTTTTCTTAAGCCAGTTTGAGTTAGGTTTTTCTATATTGAAAACCAGAAAATCTCTAACCTGTATATCCATCATACTTACCCATCCCTGTGTTCCCACAGGAGAGCACAGGGATTCAGGTAAGAAGGTCATTACAGATTTATTGGTTACACTAAAGCCACGGTATTAAGCTGGAAAGGTTAGAGGCAGCCACCAGACACTCTGTAAGACTGGGCGACTCAGTTGTCCTTACAGAGGAGAATGACTACCTTAGGCAAAGAATAGCAAATGAGAAGCGAGTGCAGTGAAGAAGGGCTTCTACCAGGCAGGCAGGCAGAGTTAATATATGGACAACAGACACTCTTCTCCACAGATATCATGGGGGTGTTGCCTCTGGGTCTTTACGCTCATGGGTTAAAGAACTCTGAAGCACATGCCCCTTTAAGACTTTATTACCCTGTGCTGCCGCATCTATCTCTCCCTTTACCAACTGAAGAGCCTCCTTTTGGCTTCTACTGCCCTTGATGACACTCACTTTTGAGGTGACAAGAGGAATTTTATCTTCTACTTCTTTGGCTTGCCGGGAACTGGGGCCCCTTCCTCCTTTGGAAACGGCACCATCTTCCTGAGCTTGGGCAAACATTGTTCCCTGCTCGGCCTCTACCCCTGGCCCTGGCCTCTCTGATCCTCCAGCTGAGTTGCTTTCCCCTCCTGAACCCCATGTCTCCCATGGTAACCTTGAGGACTGGGCAGAGTCCATGGCAGCTGCTGACTTCTCGGGGGTGGAATTTCTGTCCCCACTTCCACCTGACTTTTTTCGAGGGCGCCCCCGTTTTCTTTTGGCATCACTTGCTATATCCTCTGTATCCTGCTTTGCTGCTTTAGCTGGTGCGTCCTGTCCACTGGCCTCACTCACAGGTACTTCAGCTGTCCTCTTGACACCCTTATCATGGAGTCCTGGGTCACCACCTATGCCTACCTCCTTGTTCTCTGTGCCCCTGGGATGAGTGAGTCCCCCAGGTGAAGCTCGCCCTGGCCCAGGTCCAGGCAGAGCAGGAACTGTTGGTAAGATCATGTTAATGATAGGCACAGCTGCCTGGGGTCCCCCAGCCCTACTGGGCAGGGGCAGTAGGGTGCCTGAAGAAAGCTTGGGGGCCAGGATGGGTGAGGAAACTCGGATTGGTGGAACAAGTGAGGGAGGGGCCCTGGGAAGGAGCAAAGGCAGCCGGGCCACTAGGGCATTGACCTGCGGGTTACTGGCTGATGGTGCAGAGCTCTCAATTACACTCTTCTTGCGCTCTCCACGTGCTGGAGGGCTGGGCCCAGCCCGGGTTTCCAACTCCTTTGGAGACTAAAAAGCAAAAGACCACAGTAAGGTGTGAAGACTGAATACTGGAGGAAATGTAGGCACTGGAGAAACCAGAGGTGGAAAAGTTGGGGACCCACTGGGAAAAGGATATACTTATACTAAACCCCCAGCCCAGGGTAGCAAGTCAGGGACAAGACCTCCTTACCTGGGCCAGTTTCTCTGGTTTCTTATGGGCTCCCCCGTCCAGGTTCTCTACTCCATTCTTGGATTTAGATGACCGTTCCCGAGGGGCATGTTCATCCTCTTCTGCAGAGGTGCCCAGAAAAGATGATAAAGTGAGGGTGAAGGGGAGGGTACTGAGGAATGAAGAAACGAGAAGATTCTAACTGCTTAACTGCCAGGGACAGAAGGGAAAAGCAGGATATCTAAAGCATGTCTTGGAAGGGTGTCCAGGAAGTCAGGCAGGGTGGCACATGCCTATAATCCCAGCGATGGGGAGGCTAAGGCTATTAAACCCACTTTCTCAAAATAAAAAGGGATGGGGATGTAGCTCAGTGGTAAAGCACCCCAGGGTTCAATGCCCAGTACCAAAAAGAAAAACAAAAAAAGAAGAGTCTCCAAGAATATGGGCTGGGATTGTGGCTCAGCGGTAGAGCACTCGCCTAGCACGGGCAGGACCCAGGTTCAATCCTGAGCACCACATAAAAATAAAACGCATTGTGCTGTGTCCATCTACACCTAAAAAATAAATTTAAAAAACAAAAAAGAGTCTCCAAGAATAGAAGGCAATTCCAAGGTGTGTCTATTCTAGGATGTGGGAAGGCCTTTGAAGTGTAACGTGGCTGAGGGTTTCTCAGAAATGAGAGAAGTACTAAACATAAGAGAGGTTCTACACACCACCAAGCCCCATGGCCTTAAGCACGTGGGCATGTGCAGATCGGGCAGAGATGAGATGCTGCTGTAGCAGGAAGCGGGCGACTTCAACGATGGAACTGAAAGACCGCTTCAGGATTCGCTCTGCCCAGTCACAGGTTAGGGCACAGGCTGCCTCTACCAGTTCATCCCGAGGTGCGGGGGTTACTTCTGGACCCATTTCTGGCTGTGGTGGGAAAGGAAATGCCCAATCACATTCCATACTAAAGGACCTTTCCTCCTGACACTACTAATTGACCAAAGCTGAAAATAGACTGGGGTTGGGAGTAGCCTCTACCCATCCTGCCCCAGAACCCACAAACTCTTTTTCATCTACTTTGGTCTCAGGGTAGCCAAAGGGCACCCAGAAGCAATGTGTACAATGAGCTAGGCTGTGTCAGTCCTTAAAACATGTCCCAAAGACCTCCAACTTTTACTGGGAAGAGAAGAGGGGAGGGCCGTTACTTACACTCTCAGAACCCTTTAAATCCAGTCCAGGCAGGGGTGGCATAGAGACCAAGGTCTTCCTTCTTATGCCACTGTAGCAGTACCTGATGCAAGTTAAGGAGCAGCCAACACTTGGGGTTCTCCCAACCCCTTAGGCAAGTTAGGCTGTTCCCACTGCTGGTTCCCCATACCCTATGTCTTCTTCCCCATGTCCTCCAGCTCCATCCTCTCCAGTCAAGGATACTTGGACTGACCCCGGCCACCAAGCCTTCGGGCTTTGATGTTAGGGAAGATCTCTCTTATGATTTTGCCAAAGTTGGCTGTGCTGAGTGGGCGGCAACAGGCAAGACTCTCACAATACTTCCTGAGTGAGTAGAGTACAGAATGGGAAGTTACTCAAAGAAGGAGGATACAGAGGATTCCTAGGGATGTGTGAGCAACTCTTTTAAAAAGTCAGGCTATATCAAGGCAGGGTTCTCTCCAGGGGTGAGGGTTAGTCCTGTGCCTACCAACTCAGGCATCACCCCTTCACCCACCGATAGGCATCATAAACACTCTGCTTTGGCAGACAGGTATCTGTGTGCTCTTCTAGGTGGTTGCGGATCCACCGATAGGCATACATGTACTCCTCATTGGTGAGTGGGCTTAGCTCTGAGCTGCAAAAGAAGTTAAAGGAACAAGATCTCAACAACTGTCCTGGTTCTGAGACAGGAAGATAGACCATACACAGGCAGCTAGGGAAAGGGTCTTAGAGAAAAAAAGGAGGAAGAGGGGATTGGGAAACTAAGCTTCTGTCCCCAGCTGGTCCTAGCCATGAGGTTAGTTCCTTAACAACCCCTAGCAATGACCAACCACAAAATGTTCTCTATAGTTCTTCCTCTTATGCCAATAAACCCTCACCTCTACCCTCATGCTAATAAAGGCTTAGAAATCACTCTCCTGATTTGTTCAAGATGACAAAATAGAGTTGATTAGCCCCTTTCTGAACCCTATATTTACAAGTCATCCTACCAGTCACCTATAGGGACAGATCAAGTCCATTAAAAATCCCTAGGCAGGCCTTGGGCTGTAGCTCAGTGGCAGAGCACTTGCCTAGCATGTATGAGGCACTGGGTTTGATCCTTAGCACCACATAAAAACAAATAAGGCATCCTGTCATCTATAACTAAAAAAAAAAAAAAAAAATTCAGACAGAAGACAGTAGAGCTGTAGCCTCCCTTGGGACCCCTCCTGCACCTCAGGAGCTTTTTCTGCTTTAAATAAATCTTGCTATTCTACTGTCCTTTACATGTATCTCATTCTTTAAATTCATGAGACAAAAGAACCCACCTGACATCATGCTCAGTGTTACAGTTCTTCCCAGACTAACACTTCAATGATGTTGAACCAAATTACTTCATCCAGATTCACCGTTCTCTGAGAAACCAAACCCAAGGCAGGGGCCTTCCTTTTGATCAAGGCCAACAGCTATGAATCCAACTCAGCTTGCCATTCTCAGCGAGAATGAGAACCTCTGACATCTGAAACTACCACCAAGGATTACCTTTTTTCTCCAGTGCTGGGACCTGGGGGGAGCTGAAGGTAGAGATACAGCTTGTCATTGTCTGAGAATTTCTGAACATCTTGCTGAAGTAGGAGGGAACAAAGAGACAGGAGAAATAATAAGGCCAAGAACAATGAAATGTAGGACCCCCTGATCCCTACCACAAAGTCTGAATTCAGCTGACTTAGAGATTGTCAAGACTAGGAAGGGACCTTAGAAATGATTTGAGGCTAGGGAGATAGCTCAGTGGTGTAGCACTGGCCTCACAGGCACCAGACCCAGGGTTTGATGATTTCCAACACCAAAAAATAAATTATTTTTGAGGTTGGAGGCTGCTGGGTGCTCACTGTGCTCTAAGGAACCCTATGGGCTCTCACAGAGAGAAGAAAACAGAGGGGATCAGCTCTGATGGTATCTCTAATGGACATGTACACAAGGGGTCACAGAGAGATGAGGTAAGATGCTCAAAATCAAACTGGCAGCAAGTTGCAAAGCTAATATCTTCTGACAAGGTAGACATAAACCCATATCATCCCACCATCTTCATCCCCCACCAATGCCATCTCTCTGCTGTTCTCTTCCCAACATGCTTACCAGGATTCCCTCTACTTTGTTCTGTACGGCCTTGCTGTGGAGAAAAAAAGAAAGCTGGAGGTCACACAGTTTTCCCATCCCTTTGACTGCTGGGGAGGGTAAAGGCCTGAAACACAGGGCAGGTGCTCAAGGGCTGTGGACCAAGAATGACCAAGAATCTTGCCTTGCTCAGAGGCACCTGTCTGGGATCTATCCTGCTCTGGAGTAGGATATGGAATATGGAGATGGCAGTGAGTACTTACGAAATGGTACTTCGGATCCTCTGGAGAAGGGTTGTGGGTTCCCCAGCCTCAGCACCACCTTGTGGGGCCCTTGCCCCAGTCTTGGGGCTCTTAGCATCAGGCTCATCTTCTGCCATCCTGGCATGAGGGCTAGAGCTGAGAAGGGACAGGATATGAAGATTTAACTCACGCTGGCCTTCTCTTCCTGAAGATCCCGGGGCAGCCCTCATCTCCAGATTTCCCCAGTGATCTTTTTCTCGCCACTAACTGTCTCCAAAATCCAGAAATTATTCCATTACTTCACCAGGGCCCTCTGTACCCAAAGAGATCTTTGCCATCTCCATTCTCTCTGCCCACCTTTCTAAGACTCCTAAAATTGGAAAACCGTCCGGGAAAAGACAGGAGGGTGGGGAATCCACGTTAGAAAGAAATGTTCATTTCTTCTGGAGTCCGGAGCTGTCCTTGTGCCCCTCAAACACGGCGGCAACAACCGCAAAACAAAGTTCACTTCTCCTGTCTCACCTGCGAGGTGAGAAAGCACCGGGCCGCGCGGGCCCTGCCTCGCTAGGGCGGGGAGCGGCCGGCCAGCTCCCAGCCCAGTGTCGCCGCCCCGCCGCCCCGCGCCCGCGCGGGCCTACGTCATCTCCCACGACAGCCCGCCGGCGCCCCCGCCCTGCCCCCCCCTCCCGCCCCGGCGGGTGCGGGCCGCGGGACTCCGGGCGGCGGCGGAGAGCCGGGCGGGAGGGGGTCCCGACTCGGCCACGTGCGCGCGGGGGAGCTGCGGCCAGGCCGGAGTCTGTCTCTTCTCGGCTCTCCTCCCAACTCCCCTCTCCCCGCCCTACCTCGGAGCGCCGCCTTCAACGCACGCCACAAAAAAGACCGGCAGAAAGAGAAACTACCTCGCGGCCGCCCTCACTCCGCCGGCCCCGCGCTCGGCCGGCGGCGGGCGCCTGCGCTGCTCGGCTGCGCTTTTTCTGAATGGCTCCCGGCCGCCGTCTGCCCGGAGACTCCGACGGCCTGCCCGCTCATTGGTCGCCGCCACCGGCGGCCGCTCTAGTCTGCCTGGCAACAGAATCTGATTGGGCCTCCGGGGAGGGAAAATCCAAAGTTGGTCCGATTCGCGTCCAGAGGGGGAAGTCCGGGTTAGGTTTCGGTTAGCACTGGGGTCGGCCGGGACTGCGGGTCCCTAGAGGTTCTTCTCTTAAAGGGACCGCAGGACGGAAGCCCTGGAGTTCGGCTGTCTGTGGAGCCTTTTCCTCTTCTGCCCTCTGCTCCCCCGTCTCAGTGTTTTCCGGCTGATCCTCAGTGCTGCCGGAAGACCATCGCGGGGTGACAGAGTAACCAGAAAACCAGGGGTGGTAGTGGGATGGGAAAGGAGCCCACCCACACGCCGATCGGATGCGTCCGGGGAGCGGGAAGGGGACCCCGGGCCCTGTAGACCTCTGGAGGCCAGTTCCACCGCGACGGAAACGGGAGCGCGCCTCTGCCTTTAATGGCTACGACTTTACAGTCGCCCCTTTGCTTAGTGAGGGTCGTCGTTCTGCCAGTCGGCGGGGAGCCGGTCCGCCCGGGGCGGCGGCTGCTCTGGGCTCTTCTGTGCGGGGCGCACGACTTGTGCAGAACACCGACAGAGAGCGGTTGTCAGTGCAGTTAGCCAGAGCGAAAACTTAGGATTAGACACGAGCAATCTTGACCATAATGTTGCCGAAAACTTGGTCTTTGCTGTGTCCCTGATATTAATCTAATAATAAAGACACGATTTTGAGATAAAGGAAAAAGAAGTTTTATTTCTTAGAAAAGGTGAAACCCAGGTGACAAATAACAGTCCCTTTAAAAAGTTGTTTTAATGGCTGCATTTCAGTTGTGCTCTGTCCAGGATCATAATTTATCTGTAGCTTTGAGAGAGAGCCATTTATAAGGTTTTGTTTTAATGAGACCTGTTGTTTTTAAACATAGATAATTAGACTTTGTTCTATGTCAGTATATTAAAAATTGACCTTAGTGCTGGGGGGCGGGGGCATCTTAAAGCCAGGCATCATAGTGCATGCCTGTAATTCCACTCGCTGATGCAGGAAGATTGTGAGTTCAAAACCTGCCTCAACAACTTATCGAGGTCCTAAGCAACTTAGGAAGACCCTGTCTCAAAATAAAAAAGGCTGGGGATGTGGCTCAGGGTTCAATCCCTGATAACAAAAAAACAAAAAACAAACTAAAAGCATCTTTAAATAACTTTAATGGACTCTGCTGGTTCTAGCCAACTTGATCACACATAGACTTTTTGAGACTTACCATTCACAGATCTTTTGTAACTCATGGGAATACTCTTTAACTTGTTTACATCTTTTGTCTTGTCCTCTCCTTTTTATCTTGGACTTTATTTATTTATTTATTTAGTGGTTGATAGATGTTTATTTCATTTATTTATATGTGGTCCTGAGAATCGAACCCAGTGCCTCACACATGGCAGGCAAGTGCCCTACTGCCGAGCCACAACCCCAGCCCTATCTTGGACTTTAGGACAAGAATATTACTTTATCATACAGAATACTTTCTCTTCCTGAAACATTTCTTTTTTCTTTCAATTTTTCTTAAGAAAATATATTCCCATGCTTATAAAGTTCTTATACATCCCTTTTTCCAGTTGCTGGTATTTATAAAAATTTAACCTTTTGAGTCAGGTATGGTAGTGTGTGCCTGTAAGTCCAGCAACTGGGGAGGCTGAAGACCGGAGGATCAGATTGCAAGTTCCAGGTCAGCCTCAGCAACTTAGGAGGCTGAGGAGGCCCTGTCTCAAAAGAAAACAGAAAGGGCTAAGGATGTAGTTCAGTGGTAAAGTACCCCTAGGTTAAGTCCCCAATACCAATGAAAATTATCTTTTGAAAAATCCTTATGAAACTTCTGAACTTAGACAAATTACTCCTTTTTAATAAGACAAAATACTTCATGCTTTTTACAGTACTTTACAGCTGGAGCTTTTTGTACTGTTTGCATATGGATTTATAGAACTTAGAATTTGAATTCTTAGTAACACCTGGCTTTTTAGTGAAGACCCAGAAACAGAACACTCTTAAACTATTTTTCTATTTACCAACAAATCATAAAAATATATTAATAGACCCCAATATATGTTGTCTTACAGAATTCAAGAAGCCAATAGTACTTGTTGATGTTTCAGAATTATAACTTTGCACATTAATCAGGTGTCTCTTCTAACAAATATATTTATGAGGATCCCATTTATGTTCAATCTAATTTACCCATTTGGTTGTTATATTTAGGATATCCATGAAAATCAAGATATTCGACAAACCCACTTAACATTTTAAGTCTTTTTCCTGCTGAAGAAAAATCCTAGAAGCAATAGGTATTTCATTTTAAACATTTCATAGAATCCAACGCTCTATTGATTGTTTGACTACCTAGAGAAATGTGTGGGTTAGTAATTTTTTTTCTCTTTCCACATTTTGAATTGATGCATTATAGTTGTACATAATGATGGGATTTGTTGTTACATATTGATATATGCATACGATGTAACAATATAATTTGGCTAAAATCCCCAGCACTTCCTCCCTCCCTCCCTACCTCCCACCTCTGGTCCCTTTCCTCTATGAACCTCCCTTTGAAGAGATGTTTCTTTTCCTTTTTCCCTCTATAGCTTCCACATAGGAGAGAAAACATACATCCTTGACCTTCAGAGTTTGGCTTATTTCGCTTAAAATAGTAGTCTCTAGTTCCACCCATTTTCCTACAAATGACATAATTTCATTTTTCTTCATGGGGAGCCAGGCATGATGGCACACGCCTGTAGTCCCCAAGGCTTGGGAGGCTGAGGCAGAAGGATCAGGAGTTCAAAGCCAGCCTCAGCAACTTAGCAAGGCCCTAAGCAACTCAGTAAGACCCTGTCTCTAAATAAAATATTAAAAAAAGGACTGGGGATGGAACTCAGTGGTTGCATGCCCCTGGGTTTAATACCCAGTATCCCAAACAAACAAAAAGCTCCATGGTGTATGCATACCACATTTTCTTTATCTGTTCATCTGTGGATGGCCACCTGTGTTGGTTATTGTGAATTGTACTGATGTAAACATGGTATGCATGTATCACTACGGTATGATGACTTTAGGATTCTTTAGGATAAATGCTGAAGAGTGGTTCAGCTGGGTCATGCGGTGGTTCCATGCCTTGTCTTTTAAGGAGCCACCATACTGATTTACATGGTGGTTGTTCTAGTTTACAATCCCACCAACAATATAAAAAATATTCATTTTTCTCCACATCCTAGCTTGTTTAGTAATTTTAAAGACATCCTTACTCTTTTTTTTTTTTTTAAAGAGAGAGTGAGGAGAGAGAATTTTTTTAATATTTATTTTTTAGTTCTCGGCGGACACAACATCTTTGTTGGTATGTGGTGCCGAGGATCGAACCCGGGCCGCATGCATGCCAGGCGAGCACGCTACCGCTTGAGCCACATCCCCAGCCCAAAGACATCCTCACTCTTAACCATTTAACCAACTTAAGTCATGTGAACTGAAAGGCATTTGGATCCATTCTTTATTTATGAGTGCTCATTTATTTATATGATTTATAGATATAAGCGTGTATGTAGACATAACTAGGTGTGCACACATATACATAAAAACTGAAAGAAAATGAAGATTTTATAGCTTTTTTTCCCCAAGTATTAGATCCCTACAGGTTGGAGACAAAAGAGCTGCAGATATTGAACTATACAGATTGTCAGATTTAACCCCTTAGAAATTAAAATAGAGCCTGTCACAGATTTTTACAGTATGACTCACACATGGGAAGGACCTGAGCAGTTGAAGATGTTAGGAATAGAGTCTATCAGTCATGGTGGACATTGAAATCAAAAAGATGGTAGCAAATTCACTCCCACCATTACCACTGTTCCTTCTTCCTCCTTAGGACTCTTCAATGGAGAAGATCTCTTTCCTTTTCCAGTGTATTTGAGAGTTAACCCTTGAATAATTGGTCTCTGAATAAAGACAGCAGGAAAAACAAAGGGCTAGCAACTCCAGTTAGACAAAACAGGACTATTTGGTGCAAGACCAAAGGTGAATTCACCAGAAAAACCTTGAGCTTAGAAAAAGAGACTTTTTAAAAAATGCCATGGTCATCCATGCATGTATATGTCAAAATATACTCTACTGTCATGTAGGTCTAAAAAGAACAAATTAAAAAAACGACATGGTAATAATTACTCTAGTAAAAGAGCACATAGAAGACCTTTATCAGACCAGAGTGTAATTTTGGATCAGGTTAGAGCCAACCCAGATATTTAAAGAATGTGGGAGCCCACAAATTCTCTTAGTAAAAGGTTTTTAAGAAAAATAATTTGGGGCTGGGGTTGTGGCTCAACGGTGGAGCACTCACCTAGCATGTGCAAGGCCCTGGTTTCGGTCCTCAGCACCACATAAAAGTAAATAAAATGAAGATATTGTGTCCCACTCCAACTAAAAAATAATAATAATAAATATTTTTAAAAAAGAAAGAAAAAGAATTTGCTGGATGCGGTGGTGCATACCTGTAATCCAGCAGCTGGGGAGGCTGAGGCAGGAGGATCATAAGTTCAAAGCCAACCTCAGCAACTTAGTGAGGCACTTAGCAACTTAGCAAGATCCTAACTCTAAATAAAATATGAAAAAAGGCTGGGATGTGGCTCAGGGGTTAAGCCCCTCTGGCTTCAATCCTCAGTACAAAAAGAAAAGAAAAAAGAAGGAAATTTGTACATATGAGATCTTTTCATTTTACTGGGCCCATCTGAAGAGATGAGAAATCCCTGCAGGAATTCGGGTATCCCCTGATATTCCTGGGCCTATTGTGTCAGTGTCCTGAAGTTGAGTCCCTATGATTTGGGGCAACTCCTCTAGGTTGTCCCTGAAGCAGAATGTAGACCTCAAAAGATCTGGTGCCTGATGCAACTGGCTTTTCCAGATTCCCTTCCTCTCTGTCTCTTCCTTTTTCTAGC